TGAAAAGTTAATGTATCCCTCTAGCCACAGTCATATATGGACTATGACATCACATAAACAAAACAGACCGTACTAACTAAGCCTCTATGGGATATTAATCAGTAACTGTGTCGGTTTGAATGTACCATCTTCTGGATTTAAAAGAAATCACAACTTATTTACATGAATGAATTAATGGACTTCACGTCTTGTCCTAACTAAACTACATGCTAACTACTAATTCATTGGCATAACATTTTCAGACATAGTAAAGTCAATTCCTAGTTTACAAAATTCTTATTATATATACATCGAGTAGATCGAAGAATTCTCTCAAAATTCACATCAAGATTATGTTATATGGCATTCTTAGTATACATCAGTCATATACGATTCAGGAAAAATTAATGCAAACAATAAATTTTCTAATTCAATGAAAATTTGTGTACGATTTTAAAACGAATAAATGAAACAAATAATTACAAACATATAATAATCAACACTTGAGACAAACCTTGTGCTTTCAGAGAATAGCTTTCTTTCTATAAAGCCAATCTGATTAAAATCAGATCTCTTCTGTAGTACTTGAAGATCTGACGACGGCCGCATAAGGGTAGTGACTTGGTGACCTTTTAAATTGACAAATGGAAATGCAGGTTGGAAAAATCTGAAAGTGAATCAAATTGTTCGCTACACATTCATGTTCCTCATCCACAGTGCTCTGTCTCCAAACGCGAAGATATAAGACATCATCTGATTGGTTGATAAAATTAACGATTATAGTAATAACATATTGTTACCAGAACATAACCTCCAAGCAGTCGTTGTCAGATCTTCATGTATAACAGCGGAGATTTGATTTTAATCAGATTATCAATAAATCTGATCTCTCTTTCCTTTAAATCCCGTATCCCTCAGCTTCTACACACCAGTTCCTTGGACAATTTAACGAGAAATACTTGTTATTTCCCGAAGCAAAGAACCGCTTAGTTTACCATAGAAATTTAGACTAACTAATTTCGCGAGGGAAATTACTTAGCATTGAATTTCGTCTGGAGAAACAACCCCCTCAATTAGCTATGCCAACCAGGATTAAGTTCGTCGAAAATTTTAAGACGCCCATCGATGTTAGTATAATTCTCTCTCTCTCTCTCTCTCTCTCTCTCTCTCTCTCTCTCTCTCTCTCTCTCTCTCTCTCTCTCTCTCTCTCTCTCTCTCTCTCTCTCTCTCTCTCTCTCTCTCTCTCTCTCTTCTACCTATATTTATAACTATTTGGTGGAGGGGGAACTCATTGTGGTACAAATTGTCTGTGGATTGTCTCTATTTTGACATTTCCGCTACTTAAACCCTGAGTTTACATTGCCTCTTTATTTGTAGGACTATTATCCAAGCTGGTCCAAATTAAAAGTAGTTTATCCTAGACTCTATTAGTTGATCATACTATTAAATAATATGTACTTGTCCTTGTATATCTTATTCCCTTATGATTTGCAGGGCTTGTACTGCACTAGAAAAAATACTTCAGCTATGCATGGACCATTCCTGGAATCGTTTTGTTCTCTTTTGATCCATCTTGTTTTCCTGGACATCTGCGATTTTGGTAGTTCTTTCATTGCAACTCTGTTCAGAAACAATTTATTTATTATCAACTTGTTTCTTCTACGCATATTATTCAAATCGCTTTTATCAAACGCCTACACACCTAAGTATCAAATTCTTTCTATTCATTAGTTACTTGAATGTATCTATGTGATATGTTAGATTAATAATATGTTTAATATCGAGGTTTACATCGCAATAAATAGATTGATTTCATGCGACTTCTTGTACTATGGTCATATATTAATTTGTATCTTCATCTTTTATGTTCATTTTCAATTTTTTTAAATGCACCCACTGTAATTTCCTGCACTGAACATAAAGTGATTGGCTCCTGTACAAAATTATACGACGAACACATGAATATACATGACATGCATATGACATAATATACTTAATTACAAAACATCCAAAGAATTATTTCTTAATTTAAAGGAAAACATACCTAAATTGTCATGTTGTTCTAATTACCTGTTGATATTTATCTCAAAGTAAATTGCAAAATGTTTGATAGGATGGTTATTTGCAATAAAATTTTGTAAGAAAGTTGCATCTCAATTCCAAACAATTTCTTTCTTGTCATAAATAATTTAAATTATCTTCCATTTTCTCACTGTCACAAAAATAACATAATCTACGTACCCTGTCGACCTTTATTGTCCGTCTGTAATTATACTGATCGAAATCTTTCTAAATCTACAGAGTGTAAAAACACCTTAATTTTTTATTTCAGCAACATCTATATAGTTTTCACATTTTATAAGACTTTTCCATTTCCTACAAGTTATTAACAGACTTAGTCCTTTAACTTTTTACATGCAGCTCTTGCAAGTTTCAATTAGCTAACAGCTTTCTAAATTGTTCTAAATCGCAAATTATAAGAGATATCAACAGAAAACCAAACCATACTTAGAATGTAATTGTCTCATATCCACAGAAACCATACAATATTAACAAAATAGTAGTCTCATATCCACAGAAACCAGACAATATTAACAAAGTAGTTGTCTCATATCCACAGAAAATCAAGCCAAATAAATAAAGTAGTTGTCTAAAATCCTCAGAAAACCAAGCCAAATTGATAAAGTAGTTGTCTCATATCCACAGAAAACCAGACAATATTAACAAAGTAGTTGTCTCATATCCACAGAAAACCAAGCCAAATAAATAATGTAGTTGTCTCGTATCCTCAGAAAACCAAGCCAAATTGATCAAGTAGTTGTCTCATATCCACAGAAAACCAGACCATATTAACAAAAATAGTTGTCTCATATCCACAGAGATCCAAGCCAAATTAATAAAGTACTTGTCTCATAGACAAAACAAATTACACCATACTAACAAAGTAGTTTTGTGATATCAACAGAAAAGAAGACCATATTAAAACAGTAGTTGTCTCATATCCACACACAAAATCAAGCCAAAATAAAAAAAATTAGTTGTCCCATATCCACAGAACATAAAGCCATATTAATAAAATAGTTCTCTCATATCCACAGATAACCAAGACAAATAAATAAAGTAGTTGTCTCATATCCACAGAAAACCGGACCATTTTAATAAAGTAGTTGTCTTAATCCACAGAAAACCTGATCATATTAACAAAGTAGTTGCCTCACATCGTAAAGAAAACCAGACCATATTAACAAAAATAGTTGTCTCATATCCACAGAAAACCGGGCCATATTTACGAAGTAGTTGTCTCATATCCACAGTAAACCAGACACTATTACCGAAGTAGTTGTCTCATATCCACAGAAAACCGGACCCTATTAACGAAGTAGTTGTCTCATATCCACAGAAAACCGGACCATATTTACGAAGTAGTTGTCTCATATCCACAGAAAACCAGGCCATATTAACGAAGTAGTTGTCTCAACAACTCTCTCTAGATTGTCGCAGAGTGTGTGGAACAACAGCAAGCTGACACTGAACAATAAGATCTCCGTGTACTGTGCCTGCGTGCTTAGCAATCTCCTGTACGCCAGCGAAACTTGGACCCTGAACGCCTCTCAGGAGAAACGACTGAGTGCATTTCACATACGTTGTCTCCGTCGCATACTCGGGCTCAACTGGAGCGATCGTGTGACAAACAACGAGGTGCTTCAACAGACCAAAATTCCCAGCATGGTCACACTCCTCCGCCAACGTCGCATGAGATGACTGGGCCATGTGCGTCGAATGCATGATGGACGGATCCCCAAAGACCTTCTCTACTCTAAGCTTGCCTCAGACAGAAGATAAATCGGACGGCCACATCTTCGTTTCAAGGATGTCTGCAAGCAGGATATAAAACCTCGAGGGATCGAGGTCAACACCTGGGAAGAGCTTGCCCTCGACAAGTCCAGCTGGCGACATGCTCTGTTCACAGGTCTGAAAGCCAGCGAGGAAAAGTTACGACAGCTCGCCGATGAGAAAAGATCTCAGAGTAAGAGAATGCAGTTCCAACCAAGACCTGACTCAAACTTCAAGTGCAGCAAATGCAGCAAGGATTGCAACTCCCGTGTGGGGCTTTATAGCCACAGAAGACGCTGCACAACTACAAACTGTGACACCTTTCATGGGCGCATTTCAATCGTCTCTCGAGACTAACGGAAGCCAACAACAATGTTTCATATCCAAAGAAAACCAGACCATAATAACAAAGTAGTTGTCTCACATCCACAGAAAACAAGACTATGATAACAAAGTAGTTGTCTCATATCCACAGAAAACCAGACCATAATAACAAAGGAGTTTTCTCATATCCACAGAAAACCAGACCATAATAACAAAGTAGTTGTCTCTTATCCACAGAAAACCAGACCATAATAACAAAGTAGTTGTCTCATATAAAATACCTAAGTTATTATCTCACTGATATCAATTGCTTTAATATCATGCAAGCCTTCTTGATATATATATATATATATATATATATATATATATATATATATATATATATATATATATATATATATATATATATATATATATATATATATATATATATATATATAGATATATATATATATATATATATATATATATATATATATATATATATAGCTAAGGTATGTAACAACTGATACAAGTAGTGTATGTGTCTAATATTATAGTCAATATACATATTCTGACATAAACGTTCTTCAAAACCCCCATGCGTGAAGGTTGTTTCCCAAATGGCATAACATTTACATAACTGTTGATGGAATTTCTCTGTAGATTTTCTATTCTTGTATATCAGATTTCGGACGAATGGAGATAAAGAGGCTTGACACGAATATCAATTTGCACACACTGCATGGTGACAGAGATCTGAACTTTCTGAAAATAATGCTGTATATGCTTGACTTTTAATTACTTTCACAGCTAGTTCAATCAACTGGAAATCATTCCTCCTAAGTAATTGTAATGACTCGAAATTCTGATATTCCAGGACCGTTTTGGTGGCCTAGTGGTTTAGAGCGTCCGCCCAGTAACCGGCAGGTCGCGTGGTTCGAACCCCGGTCGAGTCATAACTAAGACATATAAAATGGTACATAAAGCTGCCTCGATAGGCGCTCAGCATTAAGGGGTCGGCCTCGTGTTAAATTAATTTTAACTTGGTGGGACATCATGCTACATACAGCATGTTGCCCCAGTGTTAGACATAGCTCTAAACAGCAACAATGTAGACAATGTAGCGAAATGACAGAATTTTTTTTAAAGCTTCTTTAAAAATCCAATTCTCTCTCTCTCTCTCTCTCTCTCTCTCTCTCTCTCTCTCTCTCTCTCTCTCTCTCTCTCTCTCACACACTCACACTCTCTCACACACACACACACACACACACACACACACACACACACACACACTGATATTCCTGTAGAGTGAATTAAAAGCAATTTGATATCTCGTAATAAGTTGTGAGCTGACTAAAATGGCTGGAATTATTTATAGCGTCTTCGGTACCCCTGCTTGATTTTGAAGCTGTTGTAAACTTTATCAGTTTGTTGTAAGTAATCGAGAGCAGAATGTAAAGTTGCTTGATATATTGTGCTTGTGAAATTTTGAGTTTCAGTCCACGTGTTTTTATGTATCTGACTAAAAGCGTTAAAAAATATCTGATGCATGGACCTTATTGTAAACCATGTCTTATGATGTAGTTGTTTATTTGGCTTGATTTTTATTGTTTGTATCAGGGTTTTACAAATCTACAAAAGCAAAACAGAACTGCTGACCCTATATTAATAATTTGCCATTTACATACCGACCCAGCGCACCTTTCTTGATAGTAAGATAAAACTAGCAATGAAAGGCGCGTGTACTTTTTACCTATTTGATACGTCACACGCAGTGACATCGGTTTCTAAAACTAGATTTTCGGACAAGGCGAACCCGTGATACATTCCGTACTATTTTGCTTACTGAAAGCGATTTACTAAATTTGTTCATACGTATATATAGGAGTATTGCAATATTAGGTTAGCATGTGAAGCCAAAAACGGAGAAAGAAGCATACTAGTTGAGTCATAATAAATACTATGAATGTGAGGACCTAGTGTATTTATGTTTTTTGGACTACGATCGTTTCTTCAATCGTGCAATTTGTATCTTGTATTTTCAGTACTCTACTGTATATAAAGTGTGGTAAATAACATAAATGTAGATTTTTTCCTATCTGTAGAATATGTTATGTATACATTACTCCCACAAACCAGAAGATACTGTGACATATTTGATTTATAACTGTACATTCTTGCATGGTTTTGTACCATTTCAAACAATGAGGCACCACGTAACACCCACAATTACGTTGATATTGAAATTTACAAGTGCAATTTATTATTTTTTTATAGTTCTTATTGTTCCAGTGATTATATTATTCTTTCATTTTTTATTTTATTATAACTGTATTATTATTATTATTATTATTATTATTATTATTATTATTATTATTATTATTAGTAGTAGTAGTAGTAGTAGTAGTAGTAGTAGTAGTAGTAGTAGTAATAGTAGTAGTAGCATCGCAAATAATCCCAGACATTTTATTATAATTGAATAGATATATAAGTAATAAAAGTTATTGTTATCTGATATTATTATTCTTCTACTCATTAACAATATTATTATTATTATTATTATTATTATTTTTATTATTATTATTATTATTATTATTATTATTATTATTATTATTATTATTATAACATCTTCGAGTATTGGTGTATGGTTAATGTGTCGTATTTTGTTGACGAAGATTTATTACTGTTTACATCTATTGCATTAGTCTAGATTAAGGTAGATAGAGTCGTCCAAGGATTAATAATAAGATATCAAGCTGTTATTTAAAAAATATCGAATAAACATAAAAATGTACTTAACAATTTTATTGAAATTCATCAAAAACAAACACAACTCGTACACTACGTTACGTGCAAATTCTTTGTAATATATAACTACATAATTTGCGGTAAGTGTTTTTTTAAAATAATTTTCTTTGAATATATATATATATATATATATATATATATATATATATATATATATATATATATATATATATAGAGAGAGAGAGAGAGAGAGAGAGAGAGAGAGAGAGAGAGAGAGAGAGAGAGTTGAGTTACAAATATGAGGACAGTGTTATGCTTCATAACATTAAGTGATTTTTGTAAATACAAAAATGCAAAGTTATCATGTCGGTTAGCAAATTTTTCAATCGTTCTCACATGACGAGAAGCATTTCCATTTCCGTATTGAGATCATGCAGGTAGGCCCCACCCGCCGAAATCATACATACATACATACATACATACATACATACATACATACATACATACATACATACATACATACATACATACATACATACATACATATATATATATATATATATATATATATATATATATATATATATATATATATATATATATATATATATATATATATATATATATATATAAACAAGCCAGGGGTCTTTTGCTTGACCAAGCGGTTTCAAAACCCTGGCTCGAATCCCGCTAGAAGTCCTAAGTTTACCCGATATTTCCAAAGACTTCTATACAACTTCAGTTTTAAGTTGGAAAGCCCAAAATATCCATTATATCCATAAATTTTACAATAATCAATGCAAGACCACTTAATTTACAACTTGCCAATTAGCCATCAACCGCACACCCCCTCAGTTTCTCTACATTAACTTTCCGTTCTGCTAGTAATTCACACCGTAGAAACTGTACAACTATCCCTAACACAGGGGACTATTTTAACTGCCCACCTGAGGCCAGTCGATCTACCGTTTCAAGGTACATCTCACCAGTAATCACACATCACATTTGCCACTATGGCAACATAAATGGCATCTTCCGAGTCCTTTCTCATTTATCCCGTTGTGTAATTTACCGGTTTCCTACCATAAATACTGCCGCTGCAGTCACAACACCGATGTACACCATTAGGTTTTCTAAAGTGCTACATCACTTACCCAGGGACAGTCATGCGGACTGGGTCTGAGTTCGCTACTCATTGGCCATGGCATCTTAGAAACTCACTAACACTTTCTCTCCGTGACGTTTACTTCTAGTAACTGGCTAATTATTTAGTGCTAAGGAATATTTTCCATAGCACCGAATTCCAATAATCAAACATGTAATCACACAAACCTACAAATATATATATATATATATATATATATATATATATATATATATATATATATATATATATATATATATATATATATATACACACCCTTGTAATGGAACTTATATTTTATTTTTCAATCTTAGAATTACATTTTGGATCACATTCACAATCCGTAACTCCTATTTTTTTGTTAGAGTGTTTTCAAAGGAAATAAATTATTTTTGCTCAAATTTACAAAACTTGTTGACTTCACTCTTTTCTTTTGCTACGTTTGTACAAGCCTATGCGTAACATTAATAATTTGTGTAACTTTATGCTTAAAAATCTTAGTGAAAATAATGTTTTTGTTTGTTTTTTTTAAAAAATATTTAATGTGCAATCATACAATTATTCAAGCACAATGCTATAAGTTTTTGTTCCTCTCCAATAAATCTGCTTCCACCAGGAAGATTCTATACAACGTTAGTACCTTGCATTTCATTTTTTCATTACATTTCCTTGTTTAACACTACAGACGCAGCAGGTCAGTTATTTTAGTAGTACTTTATCAAACCATCAAAAAATCCGAATTGTGATCTTTTAATTTTAAAGTAAAGTATATGAGTATGTATATTTTACTTGGTTTTGTTGTGAGTCATCAAATGTACATTCGTTTATTTAACAAAAATAGTACATAAATTTCATTGAAATACTTTAGTTCGAATGTGATTTATCAAATTTTGTGTATTCTCTTAAGAGCTACACTGAACTCCTGACCGTACGCCAGTAATCTACCTTTGTGCCTACCGACCGCCTTTTTTTTTTGATAGAAAAGCTGAACTTTCAAAACAGTTTGATTCAACACGTGAATCAAGAATTCTATACATATGTCATTAAACTTTCAACCGCTCCTGTGTAATTCAAACTACACAATCTATTACCTTGAACTGGAAAATGAAATAGAACTTTAAGTACAAGTATTTTGATTTAACACGTGAAATAAGAATGCTTGAAATATGACAATAAAATTTAAACTGCAACGTTCTTGTTTGGCCGGCTTTTGCCTCATATACGGCGCCTCATAATCTGGTTAATACGGATCGATGAGGGATTATTGGATTGACCAAGATTCGTAGTTGTTTACCTTTGGTATGACCACAATCCATCCATTAGCGGGAATCAAATAGAGCGTACAAGTCACTCCCGACGGAGGCTAAATATAAACAGCTTACTGCTGCGGATTTCTGCGCTATTCAATAATTTACATAAGGTAATTGTTGCGCTAACGTCAAAATGTGATATGCGTAACTATATTTTACCCGGAAGACAGTAACTAATATTTAACGAAGGGTGTGTTTGATCAAGGGTGTGCTGGGTCAGTAGGTGCAAAGGCAAATTATTGAAATGGGGTATAGCTTTTACGAAAATATTCAAAATTTGCTTGACCACTTTCGAACTGTTGTAATGAAAAGTTTAAAATCCGGGTAATAGTTATTGATACGAACCTTGATTGAATATGTATGGAAAATGGATCATTACCTTTGTGCAATAATTGCAAACGTATTATTGTTCTGAAAATATTATCAAGAACTCTTTGTTTATAATTTCAATATCCGATTGTGGATTAGTAAAGAAAAATTAGTCGTTGCTTACTTTTTAAGCTCGCGATGATCTCACCATAAAAGACCAAATCTTTCACACCATCGACTATGAAGGTTATTGTGAAGGAAAAAACAAATAATGATTCATTATATCACAAAAACTTTCTCTGTGTTAATAGTTTGGCAACCCGTCATCCCACCTACAACTGCCTTGAATCCCACTGGTGGTTTTTTCTTTTGCTACATCGACCATAGTGTGATTGTGCGAGCATTCACGAAGAACGTAGAACAATGCTCTGAGATATAAAGAAGAAATAAAAAGTA